GCAGTGGGGATTGCCCCCTGCCAGGCAGGAGCTGGAGAGCAGGGTGGGTTGGTTGGTTGGTTGTCTTTTTAAAGGGCCAGGAACTGTGGCAGGCAGGGCAGCCATAGAGGGACTGGGAGAGTGGCTAGGGGTTGGAGTGGGGGCTCATGACAGAGGGCTTCCCCCCCCCCCCCCCGGGGGGGGGGAACCCCCCCCCCCCCCCGGGGGGGGGGAACCCCCCCCCCCCCCCGGGGGGGGGGAACCCCCCCCCCCCCCCAATGCAGCATGGGACAGTAGCGATTGCCCCCTGCCTGGCAGCACCTGGTGCGTGCCAGGCTCTTTTTTTTTTTTTTTTCCCCCAAAGAGCCAGGGGCTGGGCAGGGCAGCTATTGAGAGTGGGTGGGGAATGAGGCCTGTGTGATTCGGCTGATTTGGCACCAGCCAAATCAATTCAGGACAGTGATTTGAATCACCAAATCGAATTGCTGCCCCCTGAATCTGCCAAATCCAAAGTGAATACTAGCCTACTTAGTATATTAAAGGGAGGTTTTAGGAAAAACTTCGGTTTTTTTGCAAGAAGAGGCTGGAGGGAAAACTTTCAGCTATAGTTCCTGCTTGAACTCAGTCTTTCATTTAAAAAAACAAAACCCACCAGCCTCTGATCTGAGCAATCAAATCGCCACTATCCTGGGTCCTGCTTTCCCTTGGAATTGTCCCTGAGGCCCCTCACCATCCACAAACAAGTTGGGGATGGGGAAAACAAAAGGAGTGAGAGAGAGATCTGTTAAGGCCTGTGCATGTGTAACCTAAGGTTAGTGCATGCCAGCTGGGGATGGGGGCGGGGCGGAGTGCACTGGTACACTAGTACCCTGATTTGATTTCTGGTCCATCCAAAGCTCAAAGCCAGCATTTCTATTCAGGCAGCAGTGAGGGAGTCCATTGACTTAATGGCTTATTAGGATTTGCTCAATTCCTTCTAAACTTTCCATTTAAAATGGTCTTTAATGGTTCCCTTCCTCCAGCTCTAACTTCTGCCATGCTGCTATTAGCTGCTCTTAGTTGCATAGCTCCCATTTCAGAGTCCTGCAGTGGTTTTCAGGTGTAGGAACACAAAATCAAGTGAACATTAGCTCAAGTGTAGAGATTAACTTTCAGTGAAGCACTTGGAGGAACTGTCTAGATTAGGAGTTAGTAACATTTTTGGGTGTACTGCCAAAAACACCTACAACCTTGACTTGTAAGATGCAAGTATGCCAGGGGCAGACAGCAGTCCCAGGAGGGGCCTGATCCTTGTTGTGGTAGTACAGCCCTAAGCCCTTCTCTGCCATCTGCCCTGAGGCCCAAGTGCGCACCTGCTGCTAGCAACAAGCTGGGCCTAGGCTCCATGGATCCTAGTGCAGTTGTTTACAGACTCCTGGCTGTCTGCCACAGCAGGCCCCAGCTCTGGGCAGGTCCTGTTATTGTGGAGCCTGGGCTGCTTGCAGCAGGTTGCAGGGAGGCTGCAAAAAGCTGAACTGGGGTTATTAGAGCCCTGGCCTGGCTCATTGCCAGCGGTGGGTGCCTGTGTACTTCAGGGTGGGCAGCAGGGAAGCAGCTGGGGCTGCACTGCCACAACAAGGGTTGGGCCCCTTGTGCCTCCCCTGCTGTCTGCCCTGAGGCACGTGTGCCAAGCAAAATGCCTTCACATGTCATGCTCTGGCACATGTGCTGTGCCTAGATGCTCAAGGGGGCTTGGTTTTGTTTTAGGGATCTGAAAGAGAGACATGCCTTTAACTATAACGATTCCAAGACAAACAAAACAACATTGGGTTATTTTTTGCCTAGTTAGTTGACGTAATTGAGTAAATTAATGCACGTTCCAATAATGTGTTTTTTGTTCTTTTTCTTTTTTGGCTTCAGTCTTAACTTGAATACTAGAGCTCTAGGCTAATATCTATCAAAAGAGCTTCTAGCTGCTTTTTCTCTGGACAAAACTGTGTTGTGATGATGCACCATATCATCTGCACCTCCCCTTTTCAGAATCCTAGATCCATCCATGGCTGTTGCCCAATGCAGAAATCAGGCCCAGGAAAGATCTTTTGCGGTTGTCTTTAAAATTGTGTGCGTGTGTAAGACTACCATCAACCCTGGTTTAAAATTTTATACATATATATAATGACTACCCTCAACCCTGACACAACACAGACCTAACACCTGAACCTGCTGCAGGCCTGGGGAGTTTCTCAGCATGAGGGAAACAAAAGCTCTCTTTATAAAGGCTATAAACATATATAGAGCCTTTTGTTTCCCTCATACTGAAGAACTCCACTGTCCTGCAGCAGGTTGCAGGCATGAGGTTCATGTCATGTCAGGTTGGAGGGTAAGTCTTTTGAAGGGTTTGAATTACAGGGGAGCTGGGGTGGAGGACCTCTTAAGAGCTGAGAGCCCTCCTGTAAGATCTGAAAATCATAACTGGGAGGGGGTGTCAAAATTTTACAGATTCATAGAAGTTTATGGCTGGAAGGGATCTTATGAGATCATTGGGTCCAGCTCCCCTGCTCTGGGCAGGAAAGACTGCTGAGGTCAAATAACCCCAGCAAGGTGTGCATCTGGTGTCCTTTTGAAGATCTCCAGGGTAGATTTTAGGGGATTTTATTAAGGCATTGTGATGGGCAACCCAACTTTTTTTTGCAGATTGCCCCCAACAGTCAAAGTGTAATTCAAACCCTGGTCTTTCATAGGGGTTGGTCTGTCAAGGGCTGATCCTGCCTCAGGCAGGGAGTTGACTAGAGCTCTGGAGGCTGCTTCAAGCCCCACTTCTCTACCACTCTGTGAGGCTCCTCTGAGGCAGTGGTGCTAGGTCTTAAATATGAAATTATTAAAATTATTATATTTTCTGCAAAACGATTGGACACTGAAAAAACCGTATGCAAATAAGTATGTGAATCAGCCTCATTTACTTTCTATTGCTCCCTATAACCCTCTAGTGAGTGAGAACTGGGGCATCCACGTTGAAGCATCTCTTCAGTCCAAGCCAAGCTGGCAGGAGACAGTGCTGACAGCAAATCCGAAATTTGGTTAAGACCCCCTTGAGAGTGACTTCGGGTTTTTTTTGCATATGTTGCACTAGTGAGCTGCCCTGAGCGTGATCGCCCATTTTGACTACTTTTAGTATTATCTATCTATTAGGGGTATATCGTGCAAGCGTTGAAGTTGCGCCACAAAGGCGATCATTACGGTAATTGAGCCCAGTGAATCACCCAGTTGGGGGCTTGAGGGCGGGGCTACGTCACAGCCTCGATCTGGCGCTCCCGCCTTCCCTCCCTCCCTCTTTCCACTCCGCTCTGTCCTGCCACCCCCCCACTCGCGCAGAAACTACCCTTCCCAGGAGGCCTCGGGGCGGAGCGCGAGGGCTGCCGGGTAAGGCGCCCAGAAGGATGACGCAAGGGGTAGGGCGCGGGGTAGTGACGCTCCGCCGTCCGGGCGGGCGCTCGCGTGGTTGGCTGCTGGGCCGGACGGGGCGGGGGG